GTTTTTAAACGGTTAACATGTTTTGAGTAAATATATAAATATGCATCCATATAAACTGATGGCGTTCATCAATACAAACTACTATTTTTTTTTTTTCATGTTCCACCGTTGGTATATCACACGCTGCACATCTCCTTCCGCGCTCCTCTTTCTGAATCCTCTTGTTAATTATTCTACTTCAGTGCGGAAATCGATTCCGAAATAGTAGTCCTAATGAAATTGTTTATAGTCGCATGGTGCTGAACGCTTGAGAAGGGGGGGAGGGGGGGGTATTTACCCCTGGCCGTCGTCAGGCTTGGGGTCCCAAACACGGTTCCATCGTAGGATATCCGCTGTGGGTTTGACGTGGGCAGACTACGACATCGCCCACCGCGGCCTGAGCGCCGGCGAGGACCATCCCTTGAATGGTGGAACGCACTGAATATTTGCTCGAGTCGGATTACCCCTCTTGCCCGTCTCGCGAACGGTAGTGATAGCGGTAGATTTGAGGCCTTGGTGGGGGCAATTTCGAATCCCTAAGCCCCAACGCGAAGTGTATTTGCTGATGGCATGGGTTTTAGAAGGGCTAGCGAAAAAGTATGGTTGCCGAAAGTATGCTTTTGAGCGCTCAGAAATGACGACTGGTCGAAATGAGTATTTTTTTTGGTTGTTGTGATTGTTGTTGGTAATGTTAATTAACGCATTGCTTCCCCGTATTCATCTCATCTGGGCTGTGCTATAGCCCTTTCGAATTGGTTTGATCTTCATAGGGGCACTTTCCTCTTCAGCTGACAAGCTACAGCTTCACACACGATAAAGGGGTAAAAAGACAGGACAAGATAACTAGAGTGGGCCATAATCACACACACACCTATATATATATATATATATCTATATTATATTTTACTGTGGGTAAAGTTGAAGCAAGAAGCAATACCAAACCCTTAGACAGGACCCCCCCAGCGTCCTTCTATCATTAGCAATAGACGTAGTAGTAGGGTCAACCCCTCCTTTTGTGTCCGTGGAGTTGGTCCGGCCGGCCGGGCCCGCGCCTTGTTCGATGGCCTACGACATCCATCTGCACCGCAGTTTCGACTACCAACTCTCGCCCATCCCCTCCACCCTCATCGACTGGGCCCCGACCCGGCGCCTCGTCGGCGTCGTGCTGGGCTGCCCCCAGCCGGGCGCCGCCGT